ATACAAATTGGTAACTACAATATGGCCTCAGGGATAGAAAAGACAGTCTGGGGAATATAATCAATAATGTAGATATTTCTTGGGGGGCCAGATAGATTCATGTCTGGTGGGGGAGACCACTTCATGGTCGGTGTGGAGGCCTGCCCACCACACTGTATTTCTGAAGCTGATGTTGAATAATATTGTATGTCAACTATAATTATATATACATATAGTCATGGGTCATGGAGTAGAGAGTAGGAATGGAATCAATGGAATTGTAATAGACAAGCATGATATCGGGGGTGGGAGGGCAGTAGATAGGGAGTGGGGGGTTGTTACTTTGTGAGGGTGAAACGGATAACTATTGCATTGTTCTGTACAACTGAAACTAACAGTAAAAAAACAACAAAAAAAGAATATTAAAAAAAATAAAAAATTTAAAAAATAAAATGTCACATAGCAAATAAAATTACTATGATAAACATATACTGTAATTAATTATAATATACATTTATATAAAATTTATTTGCATAAAAATATTAGTCCAATCCATTTCTTAAGAAACAAAACTCAAATTCCAAAAAGTGAAATTATTTAAAGTCATAAAATGAACCAATGTCAGAGCTCAATTAGAAATCAGGGTTCCAAAGATGTGACCCTTTTCATTAGAAAAGATAATTTTGGGGTCACCAACCAATTCAAAGCATGTCTCTTCAATTCAAAATGAATTATCACCATGCCCAACTAAAGGCCAAATGGTGTCCTGATTACTTGAATATTTGCACAACAATTTCATGGTTCTATGTAGACATACCTTCAGAAAGGAAGCCAAGTTAACAGTTGACAGTTGATTTAGCAAAGTACTGAGATTCTGATTAAGTTTTCTTCCCCCCTTTCTTTAAATTATCTTTATTGTTCTTAGGATTTTAAAAATCTTCCTCAACTAAGAATCAATTATTCACCCTGGTACACAGTATTCAAAGTACAATCCTAATACAAGGTACAAATATCGGGTCCTGCTACAAGCGCCCAGTAGCCATCCTCAAGAATTGTGGTTTCAGTCACAAAACCTGCTATATACTCGTTTTCATATTCCTTGATATAGGCTGCTTTCTCAAGTTCAAATGCTTTCTAGAGTCCATCTAAAACCACTGCGGCCATTTTCAAACTTTTCCAGGAAGTGCTTCCTAGGGGAATAAACTTTAATTGTAGTACGCTGTTGTATCCACATCCATGCATGCATGTATTCATTCTTTCAAAATAATTTTATAAAGAATGTAATTTGAAAATCCTAATGATTTATTCATTTTCTCTTTGGAAACTGATCTTCCCCCATTAGCGTGGGAGCTTCTGTAACTCAGTATAACTTAAACGGTCTCTACAGACATTTCATTTAAAATGTTAGTTGAATAAATCCAGAATTAATAACGTCCTGCCCGGAAATACGGAAGGTACTCTATAAGCAAGAGGGCAAAGCCCCTTTCACACTACCCTCTCTTAACTCGCACTCACCCTCGGCCCCAGCCAAACCCTGGGCGCGGGCGGCGCGGGCCGGCGCGGTGGGCGGGCCCGCGGGGCGCTGGGGGGCGTGGCTCCGCAGCCTCGTGCGGCACCAGGCGCGCGCGCTCTGGGCGTGGGCCCCACCCGCCTCGCCAGGCGGCGCTGTAAAGCCGGGGAGGAGGGCGGGGTCTCGGCACCTCATCCTCCATCCTCCGCCCGAGACCGGAGGGATGTTCCCTGCTCAGGAGGAGGCCGACAGAACGGTGTTTGTGGGGAATTTAGAGGCCCGTGTGCGGGAGGAGATCCTTTACGAGCTGTTCCTTCAGGTACCGTCGGCGGGGAAGGGGCAGTGGAGGCCACGGGGCGCGCCAAGCCTGCAGCGCTGCCGGAGTGGCGGGGCCCACCTGGACCGCTCGGAGCCCGGCCCCCTTCCCGCCCTAACCCGAGCCTTGGTTTTAATTTAGTTCCGCCTTGGCGCACCTGTCTCCAGGTGAGCAGCTGGGTGGTGAAGTAGCCTACGGTGACCCCCATCCCAGTGCGGAGTTCTGGGGATGGGCAGTGACTGGGCTCCGCCTTAAGCAAGTGCCTCGGGTGCGCTCAGCCAGAGCGGAAAACAGCTGTGTCACTGTCCTGTCCTTCGGGTGATAAACGCCCTCACGCCTTAAGCCCGCAGAATGAGCGGCATGGATTTTTCAGTGTTTCCCTATGCGTTTCCCCCACGCCCTTTTATGTGGCGGGTGTTTTTACTCCAGTATGATAAATGAGGTCTCGGATGATTTGGGCAGCCAAATCAGGACCCTGACCGACAATTCCCTTATTTCATACCCAGCAGATCTTCCGGAAACTTTCCAGACCTGGTACCTCTTGTCTCCTGTAAACACTCATCTGTTGTACACACCTAGGTCTCCCTTGCTAAAGAGATATCCTCATTCAGCCATTCATCTAACCAGTTAATGGTCCAGAATGACATGGCAAATACTAAGTAAGGTACTGGGCGTAGAACTTTAAGAGACAGACTCTAGTCTGTCTTCAGTAGGAAATTTAAAATGAATTACCATATTTTAGGATAATCTACAAAACAGAGGATACCCAGTATAGCAAAGTTGTTTAGAGTGTGATTTCTGATGTCAGCAGTGTGCCTTTGGGCAAGTAAGCGAATAGTTCAGTGCCTCAGTTTCCTCGAATGTCAGATGGGAGCAATAGTATCTACAGTATGATGTGTGAAGATTAAATAAGCCAATGCAGGTAAAACAGAACTGAGCCTGGCACTTACTGTTTGCTGCTGCAGCTACAACTAATAGTACTGCTAATACTAATAGGAAGAGAAATCAAGAAAGAGTGACATCCCCCTGTCAATAAGGGCAAGTTCCAAGGCAGACAATAACAAAGCTAAATTTCCAGGAGTATGAGTACCAGCCATGAAAGGAGTTTTTTATTTAGTTTTTGAAAAGCCCTACCTTTGTCTCTGAACTAAAGCACCCCTCTGTTAATTATACCTACACACAGTTTGATAGAGACAATCCTTTCTGGTACCACGATGTCCTGTCCTGAACATAAAACTTTCCTTATTTGAAAAATATTGTTGATATTAAGGCTGTTATGCTTATCCTTCTAATAATTTGCCATCCTTTAAAACTTGCTCTTTTTTTTTTTTAAAGATTTTTTATTGGGGAATTGGGGGGATGGGAACAGCACTGGGGAATTGGGGGAAGGGGAACAGACAAGTTGCTGTCTTTTTGTTCTTCAATCTAGTTGTGGAGGATGTTGCTTCACTGGCCCAAGTTGGCACCATCATTGCGCTCTTCCTGGGTGAGGCAGATCAGTCGCCGGCTTCTGGACGGCCGCTCACAGTGGCTTGAGGGCCGCTCACGCTGGCTGCTGGCTACACACGGTAGCCCATGGCAACCCACTGCAGCAGGGGCTGCAGCCTACGCCATCACCGTTGATTCCCTGCAGCCCAGCTCCAGGTTGAGCTGTTGTTCAGCATCTTAGCTGTAGAGGGCAGTGTCACTGGCCCTCATATGTGGGATCCGAACCGGGGCCCTCTGGCATCCCAAGCGAGTTCTTAACCATCGCGCCACTCGGCCGGCCCAAAACTTGCTCTTTTTAATCTGCTTAAATACTTGTCTTTTCCTGTAGTTGATTTCCCCCCCCCAATATCATTTGAAACTTGTCACTCTAAAAAAAAAAGAAAAAAAATGTTAATCGTTCTTTTTTTCCAGAAGGCTTATGTTGAGCCTCCAAAAACGAAGTGAGGGGGTGTTGGGGGGATAAGGCACAAAGGCCCCATGCACATACATTATTTCTAGTCAGTAGGGACTTATCAGTTGTATGCATCTATAAAACTATATATCTACTGTATCCTCATATTTTGTGATTTCTACATAAACAAAATGTTCATCTCTTCTAACAGATCAGGCAACCAAGCACGTTTTTATTTTTGCCTAGGTCCTTCTATATTGTGGAAGGAATTGCTAAAATGAGGTATCTTTCAGAGAGGCTTCAACCCAACAAACCCCAGCAATCTTCACAGCTGCAATACTGTTTATGGTTTTATTGTGATTTTAAAAGACTAAGCTGATGTGATTGTTGCTACAAGCAAGTCTCTTATTGAATTTTATCTTTAAAAATGCTTTGGTATATTTTTTAATTTGTAAACTTTAAAGCATTTAAGATATTCTGCCCAAATGTGATTTCATATATTTAATATCAGGAGTGGAAAAGTACTAATTAAAATTGGTTTTTACCATTCCTTTATACTTTTACTAGTTAGTGTCTTTCAAATTTCTGATTACCCTTTGAAGTGAGAAAGTAAGGTTTAATATCTTTGTATTTTTAACCAAGGAATGCTGGAGTAGAAATTTTGAGGGGAAAAATAGTGAACTCATTTTCAAATATGTTGAGTTTGAAGTACAGTGACATAGAGGTCTCTAGGAGACTGTTCCATGAAAGAGGCATGCATGAGTAGGAACAATAGATTTGTTGGTGAAGTGGTCCTTGAAACCAGCAGAGAGGATGAGCTAGTCCCTGAGAAAGCGACAAATGAAAAGAGAAAGACCGAATCCTAAAATACAGCATCATTTTAAAGATAATTAATATTTTTCTTTAGATTAAAAACAATTTCTTAATACTATATCGACCCCTGCAGAGCAAAGCAGTCTACCTTTAATGATTATACAATCAAAAAGTCTGAGCCATTCACCATTAAACCTTAGCTGTTTATAAATCTTTGTGAGTGCCTCCTCGCATCGTTATGGTGAAGATGTAAATATTTTCTTAGTTGTAATTAACACTTTTTTTCTTTTTTTACAATATTTAACTCTGCTTTTTTACTCTGTATTTGCTAATTATAAGTTTTACTATTGATGCAATCTGAATATTTTCAATATATGGTTTTTATTCCATTTTAATAATATACCATAGAATTATATTCTCCAGTTGGATGTAGAGCCTTTCTGATTTTTCGCTATTATAAATAATGCACCTACTTAAAAGTGTTAAATATATTAAAACATTTCTTGACAGAAAAAAATCTGGCTGCAATTTAATGTTACCAGTTTTTTTGGTCATAACCAACTTTGGGTTTGTCATTCAATTTATTTTTGAGTTATATACACAGTTATTACGTGTAGTAACACGTAGTATTTTGATCTTAGATTTAAATGCTCTCTAAAATTTTTTGTTAAGCCTAACAGAAGGGTAACAGAGCTTTCTTTTTAAGATTCTTGATAAACTAGAAAATACCAAGAAAGTGTGTTGAAGTATAATATTTAGAGTTAGGGAAGTACATTATATTAGAGCTACATAAAGATATTATTGCTGACAGATTTTTTTTTAGTCTAAAGTTGAATATACTTGATTTATCCAACTGTAAAAAAAATCTTTAGATTTATGAGAAAATAATTTTTAAGTTTCTTATAGGCTGGGCCATTAACCAAAGTGATTATATGCAAAGACAAAGACGGAAAGCCGAAGTCTTTTGGATTTGTCTGCTTTAAGCACCCAGAATCGGTGTCTTATGCCATAGCTTTGCTGAATGGAATTCGTTTATATGGAAGACCAATTAATGTGCAGTATCGATTTGGTAGGTCCTATCACTGATGAATCTTCCAAGTGTGTTCTGTTGGTGGTAGTGTTCTCAGAGGTGTAAGCATTTTGTTTGCTATATAGCATTAGACCAAAAAAGTGCCCCTGTAGTCTCTATTAAATTTTCTCAGAACACATGTCTAATTCATAATGGTATATAATTAATTAGCATTGCCAGTTACACGACCAACCCTATTGCATATCTTCTGTATTAAAATTTTTAATGTTCTATGTCAGTATTAGCCAGCAAGTATCTATGATATTTGCTATTGGCTGTTATAAATGAACTAGGAACACACAATTCTAGCTTTTATATAGCAAGTCTATTTGCTGATCTTCCTGTCATTGCTAATGTATGGTATAAAATACCTACTATTTGGGAAACAGAGTGGGTGACTTAGCCCTACTCCTAGGGGAATCATGATATATATATTGCTCTGGATCTAAGCCCCTGTAAGAACAGCTGGCCAATGGCAGCTGCAGTGACCCTTCATAGTGGTGGAGGAAAACTCCCTGACATGAATGGCCTTCTCTTGCACATACATCAAGAATTGATCATCTTTGATTAGAGAACATTGTACTAATACTCTAGACCAGGGGTCAGCAAACTTTTGAGACGGAAGAGCTGCCAGGGGTCAGCAAACTGTGGCTCATGAGCCACATGCGGCTCTTTGGGTATGTATATGTGGCTCTGAAGTAAAATTGAAAATGAAAATCAAACTATCATAGTTTCATTTATAATATTACTTTAAATTTTCCTTATTTGTAAAAATATATTTATGGCTCTCAAATAATTTTTAAATTGTTGTGAGGGACAGGATTGGCTCTTCCAGGGATCGGTAAACTTTTGAGACGGAATGTACCCAACGAGCCACATGTGGCTCGCAAGCCGCAGTTTGTCGACCCCTGCTGTAGCCCTTTCATGCTTGGAGAGACTAATAGAAGCAATGCTTAAGCTTATGTTGCAATGCTTGCAATGCTTATGTTGCCTCCCTCCCCTAAATGATTCAAGTTATTTATATATCCCTTGTTTGTTTTTTATTCTTCTGGCTATACTAAAAACAATTAAGAATGACAGAACAATGCCTTGTTGCAAAGGAAAAGTACTTCTCTTTGAGTTTCTTTTTTTTTTTAATGTCTTTGCAAAGAAAATTGTCCATATCATGCTTTCAGATACTGTCCAGTTAACTCATACAGGTTAGTAGAATGAGCCAGGACATGATGTTCTGACACTTCCCTAGCCCACTGCATAGCATCCTCTGTGATGTTGCATTGGTTTTTGTCAGTGCAGTTTAAAGAACTCATTCCTTATACACAGAGGCAAATAACACAGAATACTTAACCATTTTTAGTTTACAGGTATGTAAAACAAAATGTTGTGTATCTTATATGGTCCCAGGTCAGTGTAATTCTTTTGTAGAGCCATTGCTTTGGACAAACCTTGATTGTAATTTAGTCACTTATAATAATATAAACAATCTGTAAATATTACTCAGGAGGCCAAAGACATATTCATATATCTTATATGAGTTTAGAATTTTAATTAATACTACATCCTCTTGGGTTTGGAGTTTTTTTATGGTTTAATGTTAGAACTCAAAAAAATTGTACCATGAAGTAATCTGTTAATTCTGTTTGTTTTAAAGGGAGTTCTCACTCTTCTGAACCAGCTAACCAAAGTTTTGAGAGCTGTGTTAAGATAAATTCACACAGCTACAGGTAATTAAAATTTTTTTTTTCATGAAGGTAAAGAAAATAAACACACTCTTGTGCCAGGAAGAGTTTTTATACATCCTGGACAATTGTAAACCTTACCATTTAGATATAGGATAAAATTAAGGAATTCGTTTTTTTGTGAAACCATGAAAAGTGACAGGAAATGTTTTCATTTAAGTTCAGTCATATTATTTTCAGCAATAGGTAGAGATTTGTGTTGCTTATGTTCTTTATATTTTATCATGTTCTTTTTATAGATGTTAAATCATTTACACATCCAAGATCTCCTTGTGATGAATCATAGAGATACTATCATTCAGGCTTCTGTGGTACCACTCTCACCACTTATAATTGGGATCTTCACCTCTTCATCTGACTGCTTCCTGTCATTCTCCTGCCCTCCTCTCTGTCTGTACCTGCCCATGTTTTTTTGTTTGTTTGTTTTTGTTTGTTTGTTTTTAAAGATTTTATTGGGGAAGGGGAACAGACTAGTTACTGTCCTTTTCTCTTCAGTCTAGTTGTGGAAGATGTTGTTTCACTGGTCCATGTTGGTATTGTGATCATTGCACTCTTCCCCGGTGATGCAGTTGCTCATTGGCCACTGGACGGCTGCTCATGGCAGCTCACAAAAGCTCACGCCAGCTGCCAGCCAGCCCCACTGCAACCTACGCTGTTGCCAGCGACTCACGGCAGCCCAGCTCCAGGTCGAGCTGTTGTTCGCCATCTTAGCTGTAGAGAGCGCAGCATCACTGGCCCTCGTGGGATCCGAACCGAGGCCCTGCTGCCCAGAGGTGGCATCCCAAGCCAACTCTTAACCAACGCGCCATTTGGCTGGCCCTCTACCTGCCCATGTTAATTTCACCCTTCCCACAGTACACTATCTGGACTAAGGTTAGACTAAGGTTTAGTAGTACCGTGTTTCCCCGAAAATAAGACCTAGCCAGATAATAAGCCATAGCATGATTCCTCCAGAATATGGAGGGCACGCCCCCCTCACATGAGGGTTTTATGACCTGTTGCAGGGAGAAGGGTGCTTTTTCCACAAACTCTTTCAGCTTAAAATATTCAGCATGCTAAGGTGCCATATTTTGGCACCTAGAATCATGTTACAGCTTATTTTCCAGGTAGGTCTTATTTTGTGGAAAACAGGGATTAGCATTAAAATTGTGAAATACTGTGGGGCAAGTAAACTAATGAAGACAAGCTATAGTTTCTAGCTCATACTTGTAACTTTGGAATTTATTGAACATCTCATGGAACAAAACATTACATTTTTAAATGAAATTTTAGGACACCGCAGTTTTTTATTAAATTTTAATAAATTTAATAAATTAGGGATTCTTTAATTAATATTTAATTTAAATTAGTTTAAATTTAAATTTAAATTTAAATTAGGCAGTTTAAATTAGGGATTCTTAATTAATATTTAGAAGAAATCAGCAAATATGTATTTATGTTAATATCAGCAGTCCATTTAGGAAAGAATATAATTTATATAAACAGTGAAGATATCTACAAAAATAAATTGAGGAAAGTGTCTACCTTTCTTTCACTTTTTATATCTATAAACAATTGAATGTACCCTTGGTGATTGTTAATGACTTGCTCTGCTGTCTTCGTATCTAAGTGCTCATCATTTCCTATCAGAATGCCAAATGTGACCCTAAATATTGAGAGTTCAGTAAGTACTAATTAATAAGACTTAAGGTACTGCTCTGTCACTCACTACATTATCAGTATAATAACTGATTATTTGGGTATGTGTGTTTAAAGTTAATCATAACTGAGAAGCTTTTTTTTTTTTTTTAACGAAGAGCTATCTTTTCTGTTATTTCTCTAAAAAAAGGAGACATTTTGAGGTAGGAGTTTTAACTTTTTATTACTTTTTCTCATATCTCCCCAAAGAAATGAAGAAGTCATGGGCAGATCTTCCTTCCCCATGCAGCTCTTTCCAACTAATAATGCAGCTTTACCTCAAGAACACTTTTTCTTTCAGAGAATGGTAAGTTTGTTATGCCTTTGGTTCCATATACAATATGATACAAACCATGTAGAATATGAAAACTGTATGAAACTTAATGATGCTTCAATCAAAACCTGAGATGAAAACAGAGCCTTTCCCCCAGTGGCAGTCAGCTCTAATCCAGCCATCTTAAATCCCACAAATATAGCTCAGCAAACAGCCAGTGCTTCAACAACAAAGGGGTGGATAGGCATGATGATGCATTGTGGTCCAAGAAAAATTTGAGTAGAGCGTTAGTTAAATAACTATTTTAAAATATATTTTTTAGAATTGAATAATTTTATTTAGTAAAACATTTTTATATAATGGAAACCAATCACAAATATATTGCTTTTGAACATGGATTTTAAAAAATAATTTTTTTTTAACTGAAGTCAAAAAGTTTTAGTATAGAAAGCTACATTATTTCCAAAGACTAAAAAATATGTCTCTGGCCGAAATCTTAATTATGATCTTTATTATTAAAGAGGAACTTAGGAAATTGTTTTCTTCTGACTCCTCATTTTATACATAATAAAATTGAGGTCCAGGAATATTAATCAACAAGCCCAAGATTGTACACGTTGTTAGTGACAGATGTGGGACTATAACACAGGTATTTTCCATATATTTGAAAGAACTTGGGTATGTGTATTTACTTTCTCAACTGTAAATTCTGTGTAATATAAATTAAGATCAAGTATTTTCTATGAAAATTTACCATCCAAATTGAGTTATGCTATAAGTATAAAATTCACACCAGATTTTGAAGAGTTAATATGAAAAAAGAAAGTAAAATATCTCAATTTTTATATTGGTTAGATGTTGAAATGACAATATTTTAAGATAAATGAAATACATTATTTAATTACACTTGTTTCTTTTTTATTTTTGTATTGTGGCTATTTACAGATTTAAAACTACATATATGGCTTGCATTATATTTCTGTAGGACAGCACTAATCTGAATTGCAGTAAGTTATACACTACCTTGAATCTGTATGTTTACCATTTAAGGAAACTACCACGTTCCTACTTTGAAAAGTCACTGCCTTTCTTATACTAGCACATGATTTGGTTTGTTTATAGTTATTTGTGTAATGCATGTAAACTGTAAATTTTTCGGGCTTGTTTTGGCAGATGAATGTCTTTTTTTTCACAGCAGTGGCATGCATATAATCCAGCACTGCAGCTTCCTTACTGTGAGATGACAGCACCACTTCCTAATAGCACATCCATGTCTCCCTCACTAAATCGTGTTCCAAATCTAGAGGCTGGACCCAGCTCCTATGAATGGACTCACCAACAACCACGTGACCCTGATCTTTATCAGATAAATAAACGAAAGAGGCAAAAACAAACCAGTGATAGTGATAGCAGTACAGAAAACAATAGAGGAAGTGAATATAGCCAAAAGTTCCAAAAGTGTAAGAAAAAGAAGAGATATTAGTATTACATTTAAATGAAATTTATCTATACTTTTCTTAATGCTCTTAAAAGAAAAAAGTCTGTATTGTACTAAATGACCAATTTCATGGCTTTCTTGTCTTTTTTGAAATATATATGATAACATGATATCTGAGTTGCTATTGAATTTTTGTCTTCAATGACAGAAACTTAAAAATAATATGTTTTTTTGTATTTGTAATAGTATTGTTGACTTATTGTTAATAAGAAATACATTTTGAGTTGTTATATTTTAGTATTGATGATGAAATTTCACTATACTGTCAGTCAAAGGTCACTTAGCACTTGTGGATAAGGCACCATGCTCTCCTCCACTGTTGCCTATATGGAGTGGTGGATTTTTCTGAATGAAACTAGTGCAAATGTTTAAGAGGTGCATTGTTCCCAACAGAGGGAAAAGCAAGCTTTAGTTTCCTTTGTTAACATTTTATTTTTTATGTCTAAATATGTTATTTCTGAGCCTTAACTCTCCTACAGGTTTGTTTCATAAACTGAGAATATATGACAGTGGTACCAAAGGAAAGATGATTATCATGGGGCTAGTTTTGGCATCATTCCCTTTTTATACAATTGTATATAATTATGAATGTCTGCCTTTTCTCACTTATTATGTTTCACAAAAATAGTTGGCTATGTCAGAATTTATTATCCACCTCTTTTGGTAACTGGGTTGGAGAAGGTATATTTGACATATTTAAGGCTTGATAATGAACAATAGAATGATATTTCATTAATGTATGTTATTATTTATCAACAAATCAAGTTTCCTATTTCTGGCTTATTTACTTTTAGAAGATAGACTACGTGTAAATTATTGATTTATTACATTTTTTGTTAACTTTGTAGCTCATTTTAAACTAAAATTTGTGAAATATATTTACTAAAGCTAATAAAAGAATCATGTAACTTCAATAGGAGTTACCCACCCAATTCAATAGGAAAAGCTATGCTTGGATATTTCTTTTACATATTGCATAGCACTTTATAGATCTTTATTATTTAAAATAATAAAGATGTTTTTAGCAAAATGTGTAACTGAATTTAAGTTTTGGCTATAAATAATACAATGCAGTAAAGTTTTAAATGTAATTATTACAGTATTTCCATCTGATCATCATGAAAACAAAATTTAGCTTGATGTAGCTTGATCTATATACTTTCATGTTCCTAAATATTCAAATTTAAAAAGATGACATTTTTTTTCTTTTTAAATTCACAGTTTTGCAATTTAGAATTATGCCAAAGGGAAAAATAAATTTCTATGTAAATAGAAAAAATAAATACACATTTAAACGCATTTTCTTCAATTCTTATACCTTACAGTTTACCTTAGCCCTACATTATTTCAATGTGATTGGCATTATAGGAAATATGTACATGAGAAGTGTCTCTTAGCAAGAAAGAGTGGCATATTTGTAAGAAAATTATTTTGAAATATTGTTACACAAACTAAAATCTTAGAACTGCAAGGAACTTTCAACTTTTTTCATCCCAGGCAGGAAGTTCCTCAGTATCGACTTTAGCAAGTCAACCAATTCGAACCAAGCAGAAGGCAAATTCATCTATTTACCCCAGTGTCTTTCATTGTTAGAAATATAAAACTTCCCTTAAAGTGTTAATAATCTACAATACTGTATAATTTTAAATTATCGATTTTCCCAACACTATATTTTTTAGTTAAAATTTATTTAATTATTTACCTTAAAGGGTATTGTGCTTATAATTTTAATTCTCCACTCTCAAAAATCCATTTTTAAGTATGTAATGTACACATTCTACTTCAAATGCTAGAAGAAACTTGCACTTTGAAAACAAAATGAGGCATCTTTTTATTTTATATTCACTAATTTATTTTTTAAATGAGTTTCTGTAATGCATCAGGCAGTAGAAAAACAAGAGGAAATTACTTAGAGTTAAAGTTGGTCAAAATGGTGAGTGCAAAACACACCCTTGAAATCTTTACGTGTCCACATTCCAGCTTTGTTTTCTATTTTCATACATCCTAGTAAAGCCAGTTACATCAGAATTAAGTCTTTCTCACATTGATTTGTTTCCCACTAAGAATGGTGAATTGATAGCCTGGGTTTGATTTTGGTTAAAATGAACTAATATATAAATCTCTATAAAAATTATATTTTACTTTAAGAAGTTAAAATAAAAATTTTTTAAGAGAAAGATAACTGTCTTTACACCTCAAGCCCAGGGAAGCTGAGTGAGCACATCCTCTCCAGTTTGCACTAAGCAATATTTTCTGAGGTTGTTGGTGATGATGTTATTCTGACTGATCAGAATGACTTCTACAAGGTCAAATGCAGCCCTAGTCGTAGGCTAAGTCCGTTTATTCGCAATCATGCCCAACCTGCACATTACTTTATGTGCATGCAAAACTGTTTTAGCAAGTGAAGACAAATGATCTATTATCTAGTTCCTGGTAAAATTTCCTTTTGAGCTTCCAACACCATCTTGTTATAATTGTCAACAGGTTTTGTAAGGATTAAGGAACACATGCTACTGGCGTAATTAAAGAACATAACCAGTATGTAAGGATACAAACTAATATATTCCTTGAGTTATAAGCCCTGAGAAAGATTGAGCCAAACAAGCCTACGTAGTATCATCTACTGCAAGGAACCTGGATCTAACAATAATTGGCTCAACTACTTGAACTTGTTTGGGGAACCTAATAAATGAAAACATACTTTAAATGGATACTGTCGATCAGTCTAACACACTTATTTAAATCCTAATAATTAATGTATTTACTTCTATTTCTATATAAGAAAAAACGTAATATCCTGAGTAGGAAAATAAGCCTCACCCCAGCTGCTTCTCCCAGCCTGACAGCATCCTCATTGATTTTAGCCCACCTCCAACTTAATCATAAAGGAAACACTGCAGACTCTTCCTGCATGCTAATCAAAACCCTGGGAGTTATTCTAGACAATTCCCTTCGCTTCACTTTTAAGTGGTCATTAGCTCCTCATTGTGACCTTGTACGGTTCTCTTCATTCCTGCCTGGGGTATTCATTAAGCAAATCAACAATGAATGATGCTGAGGCTACATCCCTGAAAATGTATGGTCCCAGCTTTCAAGGAGCTACAGTCTACTGGCATAGATGGACAGTTATGTGATTTCAGGATAACATTATAACAGAACAGAGGTAAAAACAGAGTGCAATGTGAATGCATGAGAGACTTCTTTCCTCAAAATAAATCTTGGGAGGAGGGAGCCAAACACCTGAATACACAGGAAAAAAAACAAACTAGCAGTTTCAAAAGCTTTCTATACTGACTGAACTGTTCTCACATTTTCAGCTCTGCTGTTGCCCCTCCTTGGAGGGGTGGCTCCAAGTTTTAAGCTAGTACAAGTAAAACGGCTTATCTTTATCAATATCACCCTATCCTCTTGAAGATACAGGGGCTTGAGTTATGGCAATAAATAAAAAAGATAAATATCCCTGTTCTTGTGGAACATTCTAATAGAAAGAATAAATAAGATAAATAAAATATAAAGTGGGATGTTAATAACTGATAACTGCTAAGGAAAAAATATAGGGATATTTTTTAGGGATTAAAAAGAAGAGCAGGAGAGGAAATAAGCCATGTGGGTATCTGAGGGAAAAACTCTCCAGGTGGAGGGAACAGCATATGCAAAGGACTCAGGGAAGAAGCAGGCTTAGAAGAAAGGGAAGGAAGCCAGTGTGGTGGATGAAGTTGATCAAGAGAAAGATGAAATCAGAAGATAATGGGACCTTAGAGGACATTGTAAGGACTTTGACTTTTACTGGTGACATTTTGTGAATGGGGGTGGTGGGATGGGAGCGACGGTGTGACAGGGGAATAAATATTAAGACTATTGAAGTTATCCTAGCAATAGAAATGCTAAGAAGTGGTCAGATTCTGGATAAATTTTGAAGGTAGAGCTGACAATTCACTAAGCATTCCAGTATTGGGAAAGAGAGAACAGAGTCAACAATGACTCCAAGGTTTTTAGGGTAACTACAATAGAGGGATGAAGTTATTATTTATTGACTTGGGGGAAACTATGGAGGAGCAAGTTTTGGAGGAAGATCAGGAGCAGATTTTGGACATGTCATTGTTTGCGTACCAGAAAGCTAATAGGAGAGATCGAGAAGTTCGAACACACAAGTCTGGAGTCCAGGGGAGAGGTCTCAGTTGAAGAATTAAACATTAGAATTATTGGTATATCAATGGTATTTCAAGCTTTAAGACTGCACAAGAGCACGTACGAAGTACAAGTAGATAGAAAGGCGATGAGGTCTAGGGACTGTGCTGAGTACTGCCAGTATTCACAGTGGATGACTTTAGGGAGATTCAGACCTTAGGGAAATGAGGAGGAAACAGCAGGCAAAGTAGAATGACAAAGCAGAGTGTAGAGTCTGGGAATCCAGGTGAACAAAGTGTTTCCAGGAGGAAGAAGTGACTAGCTTTGCCAAATGGTAGTACTAGATCAGGTAAGATAAGTACTCAGAATTGATTCTTGGATTTAGCAATGATCCTTTATATTGGATATTTTGGATAAATGATTCTGGCAAAAGCATGATCAGAGTAATTGCAAGTGAAAATAGAAGAAATAACTGAAAGTGCAAGAAGAGATAACTTTTTCAAATGTCTTGCTGTGAAAAGGGAGGGAAGAAATAGGACTATAACTCAAGGAAGATATGTGATTAAGAAAGATTTTGGTTGGTTGGTTTTCTTAAAGACCTAAAGAATGTCTAAAATTTTGCTGTTGTCTCTTTCTAGTTCTCTGTGGCTTAATACTTATTATATTTTTTCTAAATCCTTACTCTTCTTTAATCATATTTTTGGAGGAAGAGAAGATAAAACTGGCATCAATATGTCAATATGTCAGGTTTAGAAAGTTCTGTTTACTAATTTTAAAAATCCTCTATCTTAGAAAAAATAAATTTTTGTTATATATTTTAAAATAATTTTCCAGTTTGTTTTTGTGTGTGTTGTCTTTCCAGAAGATTTAATTTTCATGTAATTAATATATTGTCGAATCTATCAGTCTTCTTTATGGATTCTGGAATTTTTATTATTTGTAGAAAAGCCTTTCAAAATCAAAAATTAAGAAAAAAATCTATCATGTTTTCTTTTAGAATTTTGCCAAATTCAATGTTACATTTAATCTTGGGTCGTGGAGTACTTTATTAGGATATAAGGAAGTAAAATCTTTAGGTTTTTGTACAACATAAGCAATTTTGAGTTGATTTCTGAATGCCTGCATGAAGGTTTTCTTATACCAAACCAGCAATTGTGTTTCCCATAGTATGCAACCCTGTAGTGAATGCAGTCCTGATGAAAGGAATGAATATTCTCACTGACAGATATTATTCTCCCCACCCATTGGAATAGGAGTTTACAACAGAAATTAAGTTGAAGAAAGATGCCAGCCTCCTACACAGAATAAACAGTACAAACAGTGAGAGGCTCAAATGAAGTCGATTCCATTTCTACCTGAGGTGACAAAGTAAATTTTATGAAGATGATTGTATTAAATTTGAATTTAGAAAAATGAGTGGTATTTTAAAACATCAGGAATAAGGAGGTTATTTCCTAGCTAAATGAACACATTAGAGGTAGGAAAATGAAAAGTGTAACTGGAATATGGCAAATAAAATTGGGCAAATTTAAGGAACTTAAACAGTTGATAGCATTTAGAAATTTAACAGTCAACCAAAATTTACATCGGGGGAGTTTCAAGTAATATGACACACTCTAAAATAGCATAAGAAATTTCTCTCCTGTAATAAATTAATTTAAGAAAATAAGTGAGTTAACCTCTAAGGAAAGTAAATTGTCAGCTATCATGCAAGGAGCAGAATTTTCTGAAAATGACCCAAGTGCCCACTCTGATAAGAAGCTAGGTGAAATAAGGATTTCCGGCCACTTCTTTCAGCCAGAAGGGTTAGACTCAAGTTAGTTGCCTATGGGATAAGTGGCTTCCCACTTCCCCCATCCCAAACCCGGAGGACTGTAACTTCCCTTGTGCCCAGTGTTTTCAAGTTCAGGGCAGCAGTGGACCCTGCAATGGCACACAAACCCACATGCACACAACTTCAGCTTCTCCAAGGAATAATGAGAGCATAAACTGTGCCTTCTCTTGTCTTGCTCTAATTTCACCAATGAAGTCCATTCTTCAACCCATCTATGGAATGGTGAGAAATTCATTCTGAGTCCTGTGAAAAGAATGATACCTCCAGATCCAAGACAAGCTCTCAGGACACACAATGAAGATGGAAGAAGAAATTCATCCATTTTTTTAGGAGACTCACAGCAAAGTTTGGTCAAGCAGACAGCAATCCAGTGGGAACCACCAACTCACTCATCTATGAGGCCAGCTTACAGGCTTTATGCCTGTGTTCTATCCTATGATTCTCATTTTTTATGATAAACACTTTTAGATGGCACAATACAAACCAGTAACAAAAAAGTCAGTGACAAATGAACACAATGCTATGCCTGGGGAGGGATAATCCAAACTAAGAATCACAATGCCCAAAGTTTTAATCAAAAAGTTTTCTCCTGTACATCTACATTATGGGCATCTCTTTTAGAAAAATCAAAGAGAGGTTTATACTGCCCTTGTTTGATCAAATATTGAGCAGAGATCCGGGAATCTGACTGGT